TTTTGGAGGGGGGACTTTATGGTTCCCTGTGGACAACTTGGTATTAAGCCCAGGCATCTGCCCCTGGGCCAAATCAGTCCTACTTGCATTGGCAGCTGCTTCTGTGACCAGGGGTTACGGTATGGTTGCTGTCACCCTGGTAAGGTCACCTTCTGGAAGATGGACATGTGGGTCTTCCTTCTGGCTTATGACCAGAGGGGGAGAGAAAGTCCATGAGCAATTGTGTGAGAGACCTTGTAGACAGCTCTCTTTGAGTAGGTACAGTCACAAGTACCTACTCAAAGTACTGTACAGTCACAACTGTACAGTAGGTACAGTTCAAATGCTCTTCTGAGATGGACAACTGGTGGTGCTCTTTATGCACGTCAAGAACAGAAAAATGCTCCTTTTGCTCGCTGTAGCAGGTGGTTTGATGCTCAGACAGGCAAACTAGAAATGGTAGTGTTGATAGAGTGCATGTGCTGGCTGTTCCTGTGTCAGATTATGAAGCCACCTGAGTCACTGTCCCATTGTCCCTACCCACATAGTCCATGGTACTGGAGGCAGGTCTGCCTGTCACACCTGAAAGAGCTGTACAGCTCAAGCACAGCCAGGGAGAGATTTTAAGTCAAGAAGCAGCTGTTCGTCACTCGGTGTGAGCTTGTAGGTAACTGAGGGAATTCTCCTGGTTTCTTTTGTCTTACCCCCTGCTTCCCAAAGGGCCTCCTGTCAGGGTTTGAAGGCACTGGGACAGAAAATCTACTGCTGTTCCATGGAGTTTTCTCCAGAGGTGAAAGGCCCCTATCACTTCATATAGAAGCCATCACCAGATCTGTTTTGAATGGAATTTGTCTGGGTTTATGTAGATTCTTCTCTTTCTCTGTCAGCATCAGGAACCTATGTGAAAATGGCCACGCTCCCCTGGTCCCAGTTCTCAGGCTGCCTTTGATCCCTGGGTGCCACTGCTCCCGCTGTGCTGATTTCTGGTTTATCTGGCCTGCAGCTGCCCTTGCTGAACCTAAGCCAGACCTTTCTGGTCAGCCTGGCCCAGCGTGTGGGAGGATCTGCCATGAGGCCAGATGCTGCCTTTGCCTGCAGTCTCTGGTGCTGTGATGATGACCTGCCTTTCCTAAAGTGGCTCTCCAACTCCATGAGGGTCGCTCCACTCCTCAGGAGCAGCTGTGATGCGCTGTCTCCCCTGGCCAAGAAATGGCTGTCACCTCTGGCAGCTGCCTGCTGTACAGTTGTCAGACCCTCTCGTTCCTTCCTGAGCAGGGCAGAGCTGCTGCTAGCGCCTGCTGATGCCAGTATTGCCTCCCACATCCAAGAGGCTGGGCTGTTGTTGCTGGTTTAGTAGATACTGCCCTGGGAAGGCACCATCACATACTGGGCACAAATAGACTGTCACTGCCAAGCAGCTTCCAGGCACTGGGACAAACATACCCACCTGATGCTGGATGTATCTGCAAGTGCTCACACACACTGGGACAGCAAGAAAGCAGGGGTGGATGGGCAAATTCCTGCTATATGGCCCTGCATGAGGGTACAATGAAAGGAGGTGGTTGTGGTGGGATATGAAAGACACAGCATCTGGCAGATCAAAGCATGGCATTGCTTTTCAAGTGCTTAAAGGCAGATGAATAACTGGGGAGTAAATGAGGAAATGGAGAGCCATCCTGTGGGTCCAGGAGAGGAGGGCTCAGCCCTTTTGGGGGTCTGAGGCCTGAAGTGTCTGGGCTGTGATCAGGTTTGTGGACACCAGTGTTGATGATGACGGAGGTGTCTCAGTAAGCAGAGCAGGAGAGCAATGAACAAACTCTCCGCAGCGGAAGGCTCAGGCAGACAAAACCACCTCCCTGTCTCCTAAGGAAGACGGCAAGAGAAGGGCTCTGGACCTGCCGCGGTAGGGGAGTGGGCAGGGGCCCAGCAGCGGTGCCTGTGCGGACGGGTCGGGGGCTGGCGGTCCCGTCCCGCGGCGCCCGTGTGCTGCCACCGCCTGGCCGCGGGGTGGAGCCCGCGCTCCGTGAGGAGCTCGGCGAGGCTCCCCGTGGGGCTGGGGCTGCCCGCGCCCCTCTTGGGGGATGCTCTTGGCCCGCAGAGGTGCCCGAGCAGCTGCAGGGGTTTCAAGCTGAGCTATCAGAAGGGTCAGAAACCTCATTCTGAACAGGAGCAGCTTTCCCATGAAAATCCTCTTCCCTGGCACAGTCCTGAGGTGTCAGAGGCACCAGGCACAAACCTGAACCCAGTTTCAGCTTCAGCTTTGGAACCCACATGCTAGAGGTGGATTTGGCTTGCCTCTTCTAAACCATACATACAGTTGCTGGGGATGCGCATGAGAACAGGTACCAACACCTGAACGTTGATGTGGCAGGGTGGATGCTGATTGCTGTACGGTTACAGGTAGATGATGCAAGTCATTTTCATTGTGCCACATATGTTGGTTCTATACCAACACAATCCTGCTGAGGTCTGTGTATACTCTAGTTACACTGCTGGGAGGATGTCTTGTGTGTGCAAGAGCTGATGTTGGCTACTCACATTTCCCATAGTGTTTTGCTGTGCTTTGTGGTTTTTTTTCCTACTACTATGAAACAAAATAAAAGTTCTTTCATTTATCTGCTTTTCTAGCAGGTAACTCAAGTCCAGGCCTGTTTTCTTGCTCGCATTGCCTTGTTTCTTTGCACCACTTGCTGCTTTTCTTTTGCTGCTGTCTTTTCCAGCACTAGAGATAACACTGGGTTGCACTTCAGGCTTGGAAGAATCTTTCAGGACCTCACTGTACTCACAGCTGCCCACTGGACAGCCCCAGCAGCTCGTGGACATGTTAGGTTCAGCTGTGATGTGTGCTTGTTCAGAGGAAAGGAAGGAGAACAGATGACCTATGATGCCCCTTCCAAAGCGGAGGTGATGCTCTAGCTCCTGTGAGCACTCTGGTCCAGAGGGGTTCTTGTTCTTTACTTTCTTTTCCACCACCAGCAGAGTTGGGACTGGGACCTGCCCGATGTCTTCCCTGAGTGCCCCCTGCCCCTCTTCCCCTGGTCCAGACCCAACCCAGAGCTGCTTGCCTTTTCCTCCCTGCCCTTCCTCCCGGCAGGAGAAGGAAGAAGCGGTGCCTCGGCCCCCCGAAGGCCGGGAGCTGGCGAGGGTGCTGCGGGGCCGGCGCGGGGTGCTGGAGACTGCAATGTGCGCGCCGGACCCACGAGGGCAGCAAAACACTGCGAGAGAAGCGGGCTCTCCGCTGAGGTGGCTGTGGGCTGGTGACAAAAGGGACCCCGAGTCGGGGGTCTGCACAGGCTGGGGCAGGGCAGGGTCCAGGGCTGCTGCCTGGCAGGCTCAGAGGATGCTGCGGGAGAGGTCAAGCGCACTGCCTGCCTCGGGAAGCACCCACCTCTGTCCACTTTTGAGACCCCAGGCTTGCCCAGGGTCTATTTTGTATGCCTGAGTCTTATGGTGGTAGGAATGGGGCTGTGCCCCAGGCCCTGATGCCAAGGGGAGGGAACTGGCAAGCTATCATGACACTGGTGTGCCCTTGCCCTGGCAAGAAGCACTATGCCTGTTGGAGCACTATGTCTGCCCTATGTGTGGCCATCAGCCCCCTCACACAACAGGTCTGTCCTGCGAAACACATTGGAAGGGGGTCTGTTTTGGTGATTTTCTCTGCACCTGCATGCCAGCGCTCTGTACATGGCTTTCACAACCCTCACTAAGCATCACCTGTTTCTCATGGCTCAGACGGAGGAGCTTGAATGCCCTTTTCAGTGCACCTGAGGTGGAAAGTGGTCCTGCCTCTGGTCAGGTGGTACAGTCAGTGGCCAAGCTCAAGCTTTCCCCCTTTCCCAGCAAAGGCAAAGCCCCTCAGGAAGAAACATGAGGGAGTCAAGGATCTGTTGAAGTCCCCAGTGAAGCCATACAGCTATGGCTCCCCAGGGCTCCTAAGGCTTGGGGATGCCAGAGGCTAAGGTGAGCTCTGACCTGGACTGCAAATCTAAAGCCCCAACTAAAGCAAGGCAGTAATGTGAAGAGTCATCCCTGTTTCCCTGTACCTATCACTGCAACCAGGGCATATAGGCCTAGGTCCAGGGGTTGCTTGCCAGCACCCACTGGGGCAAGCAGCGGGGCACAGGGCAAGCTGCTTGCCCTTCCTTCATGAGGGAGAGGTGGAGGGAAGGTGCCATAGCATGCATAGGAGGAGGACTTTGCTTCCACAAAGCAGGGTATGGCGGCTGCAGCAAGAGGCTCAGAGACCCAGACAGCACAGCCAGCCACCGCCATCCCAGACCTCTGCTCACAGTGCTCCCAGCCCGTCTCTGCAGCCCCCTCCCCTCCCCTCCTTTCCAATCCTCTTGTACTGTTTTCTTGGCAAGGGCACTGGCTTTCAGCCCCCGCGCCTCATGTGCCCTATTGATAGCTGGTAATTTATGTAAATCTCCTAATATATGGATTCTGGGATCAGGACGGAGGGTTTGTGTGTGAGATGAGATTAATATGTTTGCAGATTCTCTCTGCAAAGAGAGAGAGAGGCAGGCAGGGCCTGGACATTCGCCCTAGGTCTCTATTAGCACTTTTGTGTGCCCTAGCCATGCCTGGTCTCTGCCTCCCTGTGGCCAGCAGTGTGGGGGACTCTCTGCTTTGGCCACCCTGGTCACCCACAGCCAGCCTTACTGAACACACGCCAGAAAGAGCCCGTTTCTGGGAGGCCACAGTGCACCCGGTACCGGTTTCCATCTCCATCTGCTCCCCCAACATTTCAGCATCTCCGGAAGGTGGCCGGGCTGAGCTGTGGCAGAGGCTGCTGCCGCTCCAACACTGTGTGGGCCCCTGGAAGTGCTGGAAAACCACAGCTCAGCTCTGTTCTTCCTGTGACAGCTCAGGGCAGGGGAGGCTGCTTGTAGCCACTGGTCTCTTGGTGCAGCTGGGGCTCAGGTTGAAATCAGGGGTGGGGTGGTGTAAGGAGCAGGGCATGTGCTGGGGAGACCAGCATGCCAGTGGAGTGACAGGGCATAGGGTCCTTGAAAGGGGAAGATGGTGAGTCCAGCATCTGGTGTGGTGGGATGTGGCTGAAGGATGGGCAGCGGGATTCCATGTGCCCCTGTGCTGTCCCTCCTGGAGTAAGAGGTGGTACATCTACACCCTGCCCTGCCCCAGGGCTGCATTTCTTATCTGTGCACATCTCCGGGCCTGGCACCCGCACTTGGCTGCCTGGCCTCACCGTGGTGCCATGGGTTGGATGGGGGGCAGAGTCCGTCAAGGCACACTGTGGGTTGAGCAGTGCTGGGGAGCAGGTAGTGGGGAAGGGAGGCATCTTCTGATTCAGATGTTGCTGAGGAGTTCCCATTCCACACCTGACATTTAGAAACCAGGAATCCTGCTGATGGATAGGATTTGATGTGGTAGAGTATATTTCACACTGTGTCATTTATCCTGGTGCTGCCTCATGTGAAATGTCAGCCATCCAGGAGCTTTTCTGATCGCTCTTTGAAGTACTGGTTTCTGATAAACTCAGGAGAAGGATGCTTTTTCTCCCCCAGGTCAGGGACGAGGTGTGGCAACAACTTCTCCTCTCTGCACAGGTCCTTCAGTAGAACCTGCCAGCTCAACCCTATGTACTGAGGGTCACAGCAGGGGTTCTGCTACCCTTCCTTCTCCTGGGGCACCCCTGTTCCTTTTGTGGACTGTGCTAACCCCTTTCTCCCACCCCACCTCTGTCTGACAGCACCCTGCCTGGTGCTCCCTCTCCCTGCCTGTGTCTGGATTTGCTCCCAACACGCTTTTCAGCCTTTGGAGGAATATTTTTAACTCTCCTGGGGTTGCTGCTGTTGACAATGGAAATCTATTGTGTTTTATGTGCCTGGAAAATGAATTTCCATGTCAGAAGAGGAGAGCAATTACCACAAGCAAGAGAGATCAAATTGGGTCTTTAAAAAGAAAATAAAGTTCAGATCTTATCTGATTAATGAGATTTCTTCCAAACCTTAACAAATCTTAATTACAGTGACTCTGCTGGAAGGGATGAGGTGAAGCTAGGATTGGGGGCTATCTAAACAGAACTGCTCTCTTCCAAGCTAGAGTACATCCCTGCATGAAAGCAGCAGGGACGGCCATTGAGTGCAGAAAGCTGCTCAGCTGGAAATCAGCAAGGCAGGATTCTCCATGGAGCCTGAGCAGCTCCTTCCCCAAAGGCTGGCGGTGCTGGGGGAGAGCCCTGTCAGCCCCAACCAGCAGCGATCCTGCTGGCTTCCTCTGTCCCAGATCCCAGCATCGGTTTTGCTTCGGATCCCTCCTTGCTGCTACAAAATACTCACTTTCTCTTTCTGCAGTAACAATAATTGCTCAGTTCTTCAGGATTTTTATTCTCAATTTCCTGTTTTGTTTTGTTTTCTAAATCATCCTCCTGCTTAAAATCAGCTGAGGGAGGTAAAGTTGTTTATCCAGTTTAAGCTCACAAAACGTTTTCTGCTTATTTTGTTGGATTGCTTGCGTAACACGGGCCAGAGATTGTCCCCCTGCCACCTCTTTATTTAACACAATAACTTCCTTCCCAAAAGAATATGAGTCTTGAGCTGAAGATGTCGAGAAAGGGAGACTCCAGTGCTTCCCGTAAGAGCCTGCTCTAGTGGTTAATCACCCTGACTTCCTCAGACAAAGTAAAACAAAATAAAGAAGGTCCAGTATTTTTAATTGGGACTTGTCTGGCTTCAGCATTTATCCATTGGCTCTCGTTACGGCTTCCTCCAGTGATTAAAGAGTTGTTTAGTGCCTGCTATTTCTTCCCTAGGATGATATTTATATGCGAGAAGCAAGTCACCTCTTGATCCTTTTAATAAACTAAATAAATTGCTCCCTTCATATCCTTGTTATAGTATGTTTTCCCCCCAGTTTTGGGTAATGTTCTGGGCTCTTCAATCCTGTCACCAACAAACAAGCTGAGATGGAAAGAGGAGGAAACAGAAACAAGTCCAAACCCTTGGAAAATCAGACAGCCAAACCCTCCCTTTGTCTGTATGAATATATTGATTCCCTTCCTATTGTCTTTGGAATAAATTTGGGAAAAGATGACTTGTCTAAAATACGTTTTCTCAATCTCTGTATCATTTCAGTTTAATTATTAACAGCTATGAGCAGAGATGGAACCGGCTGTCAGCATTAGAGTGAGAGGTAAAAATGACAACAGATCTGTGTATTTAAGCACATGCAGAATTTCAGGGTGGGAATTGCAGGATGGCGTGCGGAGTGCCCGAGCATCCCCTCTCTGGGCTCGCTTGTGGCAGAGCCTGGCTGAGGTGGCAAGTGAACGGGCCCCTATGGGAGTCTGTGCTCCGGTCAGCTCTGGGAATGAGGCAGCCGAGGAATTGAAGTCGTGTGAGACAGCCAGGCACAGCAGGGTCTGAAGAGGAGGAAAATAAAGCAGGTACCAATGATACACATGTGTCCTATAAAAACTTTCTGCTATTGGGCTCCCAGGATCTGTACCTGGTGTTTCCAGCTTGAACTGCTGGGCACAGATTTTGCTCGTGTCCCTGATTTGCACACCAAGATTTCACCCTCTCTTCTTTGCGAAGTTTCAAAACATGTGAATAGTTTATATTATTTTTGTCTTATTTCCACTGTCTGATACAATTCTCATCTGCCTGACTTGTTTGCCTGATTTATGAAGGTTTGTTTTGTTTAGGCCTTGCCTCTGTTTTTACTAAGGAAGATAATACTTTTGTTATGGTAAATTTTGTTATTTTACTGGCAGCTTTTGGTGAACCCTTCTGCAGTTATTCCATTTCACATGTGCTTAAATCTTCTCAGAAGAAATGCTTTTGGGCACAACATTAAAATTAAGCATTTTCTGAAATCGAGAGACAAATCTTCAGCAAATATCCCAACTTGCCCCACTCCTAGTGGTGATTACATTTGCAGCTTTTGATTTCTTTCAGGACATTGGGAAAGGAGCAAACACAAATCCATTTAGAGAACTATTGTTTCCTTGCCATTTCTTTACACTTTGCAACGGAAGAGACCTTTTGCATTTAGGAAAAGGACACTTCTTCCCTTGTCTTAACAACTTCAGCTGTTCAAAAATCAAAGAGCAAGCCCTCAGACCAGCAAGACTATGAAAATAACATAGTTGGGATTCTTGTACTGTCTCTCTCTTTTAAGGGGGTGCATGTGTCACATTTTCAAGCCATTCTCTGCATTGTCCAAGGTTAGAAAGTTACTTTTTAATTGAAGTCTGAATTCCTGATCCTAACATGTGCCCTTTTTCATCCTGTGCCTCCTTCTTCTCCAGACTCTGCATATTATTTTAGCTGGAAGGATCTCGTTTCTGCCTGTGATACTGCTCTCCCAGGGCAATGCCTGGGTTAGGAGCAAGCACCCAAGCCAGTGGGAATCTACAAGCAGAGCCTAGCTTGCCCATGCCGACTCTTCAAAAATCATGGGCCTGATCCCCATTCACGTTTCACAGTTGCAAAACTGGCTTAAAAATCACCATGTTAAAAAAGTAAAAAGGAAAAGGAATTAGCAAGTGGCTTCTTTTCTGATGCCATTGTGTTGTGGAACAGCAGGCCAGCTTTCAAGCTTTTTGCTGTATCCACAACAAATAGTTATTTCTTAAGAAAAAGGATTAAAAAAGTCTGCTCAGAGCTTTGCATATAATCCTATGGCTCCAGGACCCAAGGCTTTGAGTAATATCAAAATCGAAATAAATTCTCCCTGTGAGAATCGTAAGAATCTGCCAAATTAGTTCACAGGGGTAAACAAACAGCCAAATATTAGTATTCCACACTAAGAGCTAAATCCTATAAGTGGGGCCAGGGTTGCACATGGATTATCCTTTTATAGTTCAGGCATGGATTTACCAAGGGGATTATAGACCTTCCCCTCCCCACCCTCCCTTCCTCCCTTCCACCCCAATGTTGCCCAGTGCTGTGAACTCCCACCACACCGCACACTTCCTCCTGCTGCCATGACACCCTTCCCGGGTGCAGGGAAGCCTCTTCCTCCTCAGAGCACCTCGGGAGCAGGGGCAAACAACCACCCCGTGTTCAAGATGACAAAAGCAGGACCAGGAATGATGCAGAGGTCATTTGGTTCCAGGTCCTGAACCGGTGCAGCATCCCTGGGGGATGGGGGATTAGTCCCCAGATGTCCCAACCTCCTTTCTTCCTGTCACTACTTTGCATCACCCTACACCATTTCCTGAAGAGGGATAACAACAATCTGAGCTGACACCATGCTTCAGTTTTCTTTCCCTATTCATCTGATATTGCAGTCCTGATGGCTTGTCACTCTTAATATCCTGCACACTTCCACTGAGCCCCTCAGAGCGTCGGAAGGCTTTGATTGCACCCAGGGTAGTTTGCATGATGCCTCGGTGCCAAATACTTATAGATTTGATGAACTTATTTCCTCCTTGACTCTTCTCCCCACTGTATGCACCTATCTTGCTCTCTCTGCATGTGCATGCACAATCACACACACACATTTTTTTATCAAAGTAAACATAGCTATTTCTATCTGGGTTTTTGCTGCTCTTTTCAGGCAGAAGCAATTCTGCAACATCACTTGCTTGCTCTGATCCTTTTATTTGTGTATTTTGTAGATTATTACTATTATATGAAAGTGCCCAGTGCTTTACAAGACACAAAATACAGATAATCTGTTATGAAGAGTACATAATCTAAACAAAACAGACAACAGACAGGGCTCCCTGAGAAGCACAGAGGAGTGAAGATTAGTCCTGTTTCAGTTTTATAAATATATTGCTAACATTACTGGACAAGAAATAGACATATTTTCCTCTTCTTCCCCTTCCATCCTCCCTCTTAATAATACTTCCCTCTCATTTGTGCAATAGAGTTATGATGCAACATGAAATAAAGCATGGGTTAGGCTGCTGGCCCCAATTCAACAGCCCTGAATCCCATGCTTGCTCCCAAGTGCTCACATGCTTTAGATTTCTCTGGATTGGTTCCTTAGATCATGCAGTCTATTGACAGATGCCCTTTTGCTTACAAATGAAACCGTCCCTAAATCAATAAGAAAAAAAACTGATTCTCCATATCTGTTTAATGCCACGGCGGTGGGTTGCTGTAAGATTTGTAAACAAGCTGATGTCTACAGAGAGAGTAGTAAGACAAAGAACACCTTCCTTACCAAGGGGAGCAGGTATTCTGTGCACTCATACAAATCACCCTGTGGGGGCTTTTGTTAGTTGGCTCTAGAAACTTGCTGGATGGATTGACAAGCAGGGGCTATTATCCGGTGCACCAGACACTGTGTGTGGAGGGACCTCACCCTGGGTACCAGTCACAGAGGTTTGCAGAAGAGGGCTGGCTGGGAAAGGCACTAGGGGAGCCACCACAGGTATCCCTAGGTGGGAGAAGGACACTTCAGGAAGATACACTGGAAAACCCAGGGATGAAGCCAGGATGTTCCTATTCAATCTCCCCATTTTCTCTGGAGGTGGTAAAGCCTGGAAAAATGTGAATGTGGCAACATGGGAGGTCTCAGCCAGAGTAAGATATGGGAAAGGTGAGCCTTCATTCATAGGTGGGGACCCACCAATTCCCATATGCAAGCATTGCCAAGACCACTGTGCCCCACATCCTCTTTCATGTGAGCTGAGATGCCCAACAAAAGCCCTAATGCCAGCACCCAGCCATGTCATGCAGAGCCATTGGCTTGCTCATGCCTTGTACAGCCACTTGTCTCACGGCAGAACTGGGATGAACTGCTTCTGCTGATGGTCTCCCTGGTGGAGTGGGATAACGTTTGGGATTCCCTTCCAAGTCAAGTTTGGGTTTCTCTCACAACCATCCCCAAGCACCACACAAGGAGGCTCCCAGCACTGGCAGAGGAAGGTGTGCATGCTGGCAGTAACTGTGGCTCTGCAGCTGGCCTGCAGGGTGGCCTTGGACCGGTCACTTACACTTCCCTGTGCCCTCTACTCTTCCCCTTTTGTTGCTTGCCCTGTTGGTCAGCATTTTGGAGAAGGCAAGTCCTCTACTTTGGCCATCCACTGTGCTTGGTTGCTACTGGAACAACTTGCAGCATATCTGCAAGGTTCCCTTCCCTCCTCCTCCAACGTGCTCACATTGCACACAATGGCTCAGTGCAGTGGGTCACATTGCTGGCATGCCATGACCATGATTCAGACCCTCCTGATGACCCACATTTGCTTCTTCACCCAAGTTGTGTGTCCGGCATCAGACCAGCCACTTTGATAACAGGTTTTGGCTTAGCAAATTAGATCTCAGACCCTGTTGGTCTGATGCTGAAATCAGGATCTTCCCCCTGGAGGGTGTCTAAGCTGTCGTGGCTAACCCCACTGCCTGTTATTTTTGCCCATGCATAGTTTTCATTACCAGCACATTCTTCTTTTGAAACTGATACATCAGTTTTAATTAGTTAGGTTTACAATTCTATCTAGAGGAGCCTCCTGCCTTCAAAGACCAACTTTCAAACATTAACTCTTCTAAATGTTTCCCCCCACATGTGAACCCCTCCCCATCCTGCCTTGTAAATTATGTTCAGTTCTTTACTTGTAGCAGGCAGGTATTTAGTGTGATAAATTCAGGTTAGTGTCTCCTTAAGTGTATGTATGTGTGTCTGTGTGTGTGTAAAGAAGGAGCAAAATAAAGTTGTATCAAGCCATAAATTACTGCTCCAGCATCATAAATTGCCAAGGCAAAGCTCCATTTTTTTACTTTTCTTTCAACTAAATGAGATAATTAATGCAAGGGGAAAAAAATGGGGTTGTCTCCCCCCTCCCTGGAGCCCTTTGCCTTGATGTTTGTCTATGAAACTTCAAGGTTGCAGTGAGGTGGGCACCTCAGTTCTGGAGCGGGGGGAAGCAGCAAAAGAGTGGGGACCTGAAAGGGTGGGGGTCATGGGGCTGGCCGGTGCTTTCCTTTTGCCAGGGCTGTGGGAGGGACTCTAATGTGGGCTGCGACCCTATTTAATAAAATACCTAGGAAAGCAAGGGGCCAGGAGGCGGGTGAGAGGGAGACACAGTGGCTGGGGCTGGCAGGAGACTGTCATGAGATGAAAGTGGCCCTTCGTCCATTTCTTTCCTCCCTCCCCGCTGTCAGCACTTCTTAATGTCAACCAGTGTGAGTGGTCGGTGGGGCTAGTTTCTGTCTCCACATATGGGTTTTTTTTTCACTTTCCCCATAACTTCAGCCAGATGGATTCACTGCTCGGGAGCAACAGGAGAGTGATGCGGGTGGCCCGGCAGGCTCCTTTCACCAGCACCTTCAGGCGAACTTTTGTTCAAGCCCTTCTCTGAGGCAAAATCTTATCAGGGGATGTCTCCTTTCCTGCCCTGCTACCCCCGCGTCCTAGGCCACCCTGGGTCTAAAGCCGGTCTTAGCACAACCCACCATCAAGACCAGTGTGGGCATCACAACATGAATACTG